ACAAATTTTTCTGAATAGGTTATCATCAACACGTACAGCGTTTCGAAAGGAAAATGTCTTCGATTTGTACACACTATGTTTAGGGCATGGAATCGATGACAAATGCATTTGTTGTTGTAATCACTCATCATATGACATCATGGCTTGTTGAGTTGACGACCATCTATCTTGAAAAATGATGCCATTAAACAGAAATTCAATATCGTTCAGTGTGAAAGGACCAATTAGGGAATGATGGAGCTCATCAAGATGATGTACTGGATCAGGGAGGTTACCTGCATCACCTCTCACCTGTCGTCCTTTATTGTCCAATGACTCAAGAGGGCATCAGCAACAATTCCAATCTTCTATATCTCGTGCGAGGACTATCCCAGTGAGTCCTTCTTTGTGCTAGTTTTCGTGAAGAAATCGGACTATCGGTTTGGTGATCTTCCTGTAAAGCGCTTGATATTACGAGGAATCCAGTTGGTAACAACTCCTAGCCATCGGTTGTCGTTGAAGCACATCACGTGTTTGGCCCACCTTATTTTCGATAGCCTAATGTGTGGAAACGGCATTATTGACCGTCGAACGACGACGTAGGTCAGACGTTTGGATCCTTTCTCTCATTTAGGTTCGAGATGCTCTTAGCATCGACGTCTCGACTTCACGTTCAATAGCGCCAGGTAATCTTCCAATTTGCTTACGTAGCGATCAAGTTTTGGCTCCATTCGTTAGAATAGGAATAATCGTCGAGTCGAAAAGGTGGGCGTGAAGTCGGATATTTTTCGTTTGTCCTTGATGCTCCTAGACGATTCCCAAGCCCCTTTTTCCTTCTACTCAAATGTGAAACTAGGTTGTTCAGCATGTCAACTTCAGTACCTAGACAGACGTGGCTGGAGCATTCGGAGATGTTCGTTACGTTGAGCGTGAATGGGGCATTCAAAACCTACTCGTTCCCCATAAACATCGTTTCATTTGATTTATTCAAAGACCAATCTTCCGCGGGCGTTGTCGAAATCACTCAACATTATGTATAGGTTACCTGACGAACTTCCATTCGATTAGTGTCCGCGGGTGGGAAGACCACGAAAAGACCACTTTCCAGAGATATCAAGCACAATAAGAGATCACTATCTAGTCAACAGTAAGATGTAAGCTAAACACCGAAGGTCTACCAAGCTGAAACCGTAGCAAACTGTGAAAATAATTGAAATATCATTATGATGTTGACGGCAAAACTCAACATTTTTGCGCACTTTCATCTGACCACGAGTTATCGGAAGCTACAATATAGGAAAGGTGTTCGTGGAAGCAAGCGACCAAACGGCATTCTATGTTCTGTATTCAACACAACTACCAAGCAGATTGTTGATTTAATTATGAGAATTTAGCTTTTTAGCTGCGTGCGAGGTGGTAAAACGACGTTGGTGTTGCCGTTGTTCATTGTTAATTGCGGATATGGATAGCTGGCTGAAGTTTGCTGGCTAAAGTTTCGGCAACACCGCCTTTTTCAGAGCCTGTACGCCACACGTCTAGGAGATCTATTTTGCAGAATTTCAAGTTCTGATTTATTTGTTCATCACAATCTTCAAGATTCCTACATTGCAACTTTCCACACAATCGTATTAGATTTATTTAGGCTATGTCTACGTTGATTACATAAGAATAGAAAGTATAACTAATAAAAAGATAGAAAACAGAAATTATAAAGAAAATAGATGCGGATCAAAAGTAAGTACAAGCGATGCAGCAAACAATCATATTGATTTCTTACAATAATAATGACAACGAAAGGAAGACCTAAGTGGTTTGTAACGCATCGTATCGGAAAATTAGGTGATAGGCAATGCACTGGTTTAGTGTCTTCCCTCAATGCTCTCTTCCAGTTGATAAACTGAGCACCTAAAAACGCTTTTCTTCAGTCACCCAATAAATCATAAATGGTATCAATCAGCGTTCCACGGTATTCATGTTCTAAGACTAAATTACCGAACTTGATCCAAAATTCAAAAATTTATTCTTCCAAGTAATCGAAAGTTTTAAATAACGATAACTGAAGTATTCTCCGCCTGCCTGGATGCATTTCTGCCAACGCTCCGGCAACAAATCAGTTCCGCGCTCATAAAACTCATTATTCTTTGATGCAAACCAACCAGTCAATTTTCGACGGAAATGTTCAATGTCACGCAACTTCTTCTTATCCAAGCAGTGCTTCAATGATCTGAAGAGGTGGAAATCGGACGGAGTGAGATGTCTGGAGAATACGGCGGATGATTTGAGTGCTCCTCGCCCAAATCGGTCAACTTTTTCCTTGTTTTCTTGGAAACTCGTGGCCTCGCATTGTCTTGAAGCAAAATGACTTGGCGAAGGCGGCTACGTTGCATTGCTTGATTGCAATGGTCCAGTTACTAACTGAAATGACTCAAACACTTCAAAAAGACTTCAATGAAATGCAAACCGTTCTTGCGCCGTAGTTCTACCAACAAATTGGCGGCCTTCTGCACGATTGATGTTGTCAAATGTAGTATGAAAATTGTGCCCCAATTGAAACTCGTAAAGCAGTAAGTTACGAATGACCTTCCACGACGGCTCCATTGTCGGATAAGAATATGCAAAAATATACCAAATGATGCACAAGAAATTTCTGCACAAAATAGGTTTGAGAAAAATTTGTTTTTGAGAGAAAATTTTTATTTTCGGAATCAAGTTCGCAACCTTAGTTGGAGACTAAATAGATTGGGCTAAGTCACTAGCCAGCAGCCGAAGCAACACGTGAGATGTTCCGGGACTATTTTGTAGAGTGCGCGCTTGAAAGAATCAAATGCAGGACATTTTGAGATCAGCACAGCAAATTGTGATAACGGATCGTGTATGTAAATAATTGAGACATGGAGTCCTTCCAAATTTTAGTTAGGATATGTCCTAAACTGTGTGCCGAAAGAGCTGAATAGAGGGGTTGTAAGAGGTAAAGATAGCAAATAAAAAAGAAACGAAAGTGTAAATTACTTTAAAGCTGATCGTGAGAAAATCTGTTTGAGCATAACGGTCAAAAGTAAGACCCTTCCATTATTCTCAGTACTTCCCGGCTTTACACAACGTGCGGATCTAAACGTATCTTGTGTTCAATTATCACGTCTTTTATTGATGCTTTGAAAGTTTTCCAATTAGGTATTCCTAAGGTGTCGGACTTGAATATCTAACAACGATCGTCACATTCTACTCAAATCAGTTTTCTGAAATCCTAGCCACTGCATTGTTCCAGTTAGTTAGCAGCATGTGTGAATCAAAGAGAGCAAGATGAATTCAGGTTTTAGCCAAAGATATAAGCTTTCAGATGAATACTAACACTTTTATGAAAATATCCTAAGCAGCAAATTAGATCGATTCAGAAATTTGTCACCGTCTAATGTAAGTACCACAAATTTTGCTTCTCCTCAACAGCATAATATTCAAAAATCTGAAAAGTGAAAACACCCTTCACAACAAATGACTGGTATGCACTCAGTTAGAGTGAGTTTTTGACGAACACATATCGATTATAGCATGTATAATAATTTTTGATAAATCAATAGCTATTTTCCAATTATTATTTACTATGATGTCTCGGGTCATGTACAAAACTAGAGAGCAGCAAAACTAAAAATCTTCCTTGTGGTTTCCTTTGTACAATGCAATATTATTGATGGAATTTCAAATTCAGTGTGACTGGGTAGTAAACGAGCGTTTTCTTTACATCGGACGCGTATAACTAAACCAAGAGCTTATGGGCGAGTAGAAAAAGTCTTCTTCCATCAAGTAATACAATGATTCCGAAAATGTTTGCCAAACGAAGAAAAATCTCAATAAGACAACGAAATTGCCCAATTGTTTTGCTCGTATCAATTTCTATAGCCGTCCGTTAGGGGTTAAGGCGAATCTTCACACTATGACTTGGTTTGCATCTGGACTTTTCAACATTAAGAAAGCTCACAAAGAACAAGAGCGGTAATGAAGCAGTAGCTTCAATGGTGTAATGATAACATGTGCTCCAGGTATGAGTGAAGCACGCTTTACGCTCTCCCGTGGGTCCCGATTTTTATGGCCTTCTGGTTTGCTTGGCGAATTCATCTTTTTCACGAATCTCGTGGAGCACTTTTCCATAAAGTATCCTTGCAATCGTGGAGATAGTCAGGTTGGGCCATTTCGCAAAGCAGTCGTTCAATGGCTGCCGTACAGTGTCGCAGGGGAGCAAGGGATCGATCCCGAGCGGAACATCACTATCCACTCGGCCACAAGCACAATGTTGCAACATTAATATCAAGAAGGCTTCTATAAGGGCAATACCAGTAAAAAGATGCCAACGCAAAGTGTCCAGTAATTTCTTAAAGTTTAGCGGGAAAATACTTCTTCTAGGAAAACAAGGTATTTTCAGCTGCTGGATAACATTTCTTGTTACTTTATCTATGATTTTGCAGTCTTTCGAAAGTTTGATTAATACCGTTTTCCACACTAAGCGTCGTTTTGCGAGTGACATTCATGCGCAGTCTATCAAGGAGAAGAATTTCTTTGAATATGTAGTAGTTAGACGTTACTTCCTTAAAGTTCACCGCGGATTCCTGGAGCCTTTCATTGCAAAAGTTTGATTTTGTAGTCACACCACCACCACGAAAAGATAGGATTTTACCGAAGATTTCTTCATGAACGTAGTAGTAAAATGAACACTCAGCTGTCGTGAAAATTCCTGCCTTTTAGTACGGAAGCTACGTCGATAGGACAACGTAGCATTTAAACTCTTTTTTCACTGTTCCTTCAACAGTGCAACGAAAGTGTAGTTCGAAAACACGTTTCGTACAGTGTACGACTTCTGCAAGAGAAATTTATGTGGGTGTTTACAATATGTACCTATTGAAGGTGTTAAGAGAGTGCATTTGAAATTTCGAGGAATACTCATTATTTTAGTATTCCCAATGCTTTTTTTCGCAGTATCCAGTACGATATTTCATATGCACCTAAGCAAACTGGGTGGTGTCCAAAAATACTGCTTCAGGCCGGAGTTGAACCCGCATTTCATCCATACTGATGACGCATGCTACCACTACACCACCAAGGCACATTTGCAACAATTCTTCACTACTCATTCTCCAACATCTCTATGTTAGCTGCAAGGCACCAACTCCTACCAGGTTCGGTCGTGCATGCAATTTCGCTTTTTATAGATCCAGTTGAGCTGGCAGCCACTGGTAGGTGAAATACTCTAGAATTTAACATTTTTATTCAATTTTTTGCAGTGTTGCGATATTTCACTGTACCTTAGCATATTAAGTGGTGACCAAAAATGCGGCCTTGGACGGGAGTCGAATCCGCGTTTCATCCATTGACACCACTAACAAAGCAGTTAAAATAATAAAATTTGCGAGTATTATATCTAATAGTGTTTGTTAGCTCAATTGGGTTTATAAGAGCGGAGTCGCATACCCGACCAAACTTGTTACAGGTTCGTGGCTGACAGCTAACATAGAGATGATCGAGTGGTCGGGCAAGTGTGCTTCGGTGGCGTAGTGGTAGCACACGGTATGGGTGAAGCGCGGGTTCGACTCCCGTCTGAGGTCGTGTTTTTGTTCACCACTCAATTCGCTCTAGTTCGAGGAGATTCAAAAATTTTTCCTTTTTAGAATTGCTTGATGTTATTTATGCTACCCATTGCCTTATCTATTAAATTATATTTCGTCGCTTGCTGACGGCAACTTTCCCTTCAGTGGTGATAAAAAACGTAGTTCATTAGAAAGAACCCTCACTGTCATTGGGGCACGCCCGGCAACCAGCGACAACGTCGCGTTCCACGCGGTCCGCAACGTGTTAACAAGCATCACTCAAAGTGACTCCAATCATACATAGGCTTTATGACTCGTGGTGACCTACCGATGAATAAACTCTAGGCTGATATTCTCCCAAACAACTCTGATAATAAATCACCGACTGCGGAGATATGGAAACCTTGGTTAACCAAGCGCGGGATCGAACCATCGACCATCGGTTGATCGAGCTTGTGTGCGACAGAGCACCCTTAATCGCTGTGCCACACGAGCTCTAGATCATCTTAATCATCAAAAATTGGGAAAGCATTTTAGTCTACGGTGACGATGACAAATTTTCTTCATATGGGCTTCTTGCGGTTGGGCGAGCAGCAGTACCATCAAAGTTGCACAAATGAAGCGCTGAGGATTAATGGGACTCAAAGTCTCACTCTCAACTGCCTATAGAGACCTCGCTCAAAAACAAAAATAATTTGGTTATCTGATAACATGTTTTGAACCTTTTATAAGGTGTGACATGGCACTTAAACAGAATTAAACAGCTGTTTCACCCTTCCAGGCTCATCGGTTTAACGGAGCCTTTTGGATCTGTCCATCCTTGCATGCACACTTACCACTACCAAAGCATTATTCACTTACCAGCCACCGGCGCTCGACTGTGATCACCGCGATGTCGGAGAATTTTGATTCGCGACATGTGGTGATTTCAATAATCGGGCGTCGACTTTTTATAAATAGGTGTATATCCACTTTGAGGGATAGGGTGGGCCGAAAGGCGCCGTAGTACCGATAAGCCTGGAAGGGGTAACAGCTGTCTAACACTGTATAAGTGCCATATCTAACCTTATAAAGGCTCAAAGCGTGTTTTCATATTATTAGTAGGACTATTTGGAGTAGAAGGAGATTTGGAAAATTGAAGCCGATACTGAAGTCGCTGGCGCTAAAGAAGGTATAAGATCAGGATGGAGATGATTGCGTGCAAAGCAGACGTCTTGCTTTCCACCTGTATCCATTGCGAGGAGAACGTCTTCAATAGAAATGATGACGTCGCTTACGCTCGAGCATGTCACCTGGTAGCATGGAAATAGTCATAAAAATACTGCAGTAAACTGCATAATTTTCTGAAAGCATTTGCATGAGCGTAGTAGTAGCCTTTTTCTCTCGTTCCTAGTATTAATTCTGTATTCTCATTGAGGAATGGGGCAAAACCTTCGGCAAGTCAAAACAAAACTGACAAGCGAGCTTCAAACAGAACAGTTGAGGTAAAAATCTTGAATTCAAGTCGATATTTGACTAAGGAAGAAGGTAATACCTCAAAATTCTAGTATTTTACCGCTTTTTTTTCGGAGAGTTATGATTTTGTTCACATATATACTTAAGAGAACTAAGTGGTGAGCAAAATACGGCCTCAGGCGGAAGTCGAACCCGCGTTTCGTGCATACCGGGCGCGTGCTACCAATACACTACCGGGGTATTTTTGCTAACCATTTAATTCTCCTAGGTTTATGTGAGGAAGAAAGAAAACACCGTCCAACCGTTTTGGAATCAACAGCTGATAAACACTTTGATCTACGGCGAGGAGCGAGATTTGTGACGTAGGAGAGAATAAAATATTGTTTTAAACGATAACGAACACCCTTCACACCGCTGGACGCATGATTTCTATTATAACCATGGTTTTACTGATCATCTGTGTTATTTGTGGCAAAGTCAGATGATCGCGATCGTTTGAAGGAAGTGCGCTTTAGCGTCGACCTAGAGGACTTCGACCTTTGACCTGGGAACGCGCCAGCTCAAATCGCAAGCAACGGCACGCAATTTTTTTTTGTCCATTTGGGGTTATTTTCTCAGCGTTTTACTAAGATTTCAATATTTCTCTTACTATTTCAGTGTTTCTTCTTTTCTATACAATCTTTCATCTTTATAGTGCATATATATCTCTTCCGTTCAAACAAAAACAGTTCGTTTGCCGTCCATTCAAAGTCTGTCAACTTTTATTCAGTTGAATTAGTTGCGCAGTAGACTTTACGATCTTTTAATTCATTTGAAACCGTTCAAGAATCATTTATCCCAAATATTTCCATCATAACTAATATCCCAAACTCAATAACACTTTACCATATTATTTGACCCCTATCACAGTTTTTTCACTATGCATACCCTATTATAGCATTCATTCCTCTCCTCGCTTGCTTAAGTGTTGACGAAACTTGTCGAATATTGCTCCATTAAGTCTTCTTGCAATGTCGAGGATAGTCAGGCTGGGCCACTTAGGAAGGGATTCGTTCATTGGCTGCCTGAGAGTGTTGCAAGGAAGGGAGGTAAGGTCAACATCAATATTAGCAAGGCTTATTTCAAGTATATCCCAGTAGAAAAATACGGAGGTGTTAAGGAACTTTTTAGGTTTGAACGAGAAAATCATATTTTTCTCAAAAGCCACATAATTCCAGCCGTTATATAACATTTTTAGCTATTTTACCTCTGATTTTGTAGTCACTCGATAGATTGTTTATTACCGATTTTGATACTAGGCGTCGTTTCTGAATAGACCTTCATACCACACTCTACTAACGAGAAGAAGATTACATTCGCATTTGGAGAAGTAAGCCGCTGTTTCTTTCAACTTCGCCGCGAATTCCTTGCTACTTTTGTAGCGAAATTCTGACTTTGGAGTCACACTATTGCCGCGAAACGATAGAGTATGATTAAGGGTTTCTTCTAAAACTTAGTGAAGAATTGAGCACTCAGCCGTTCTGAAAATCCCTGCTTTCTAGTACGGGAGCCCACGTCGATGAGACAACGTAGCATTTCAACTCTTTTTTTACAGTACCATCGACAGTGCTCCGGAAGTGTAGTCCGAGAGCACGTTTTCTAAAGTGTGCGACTTCTGGAAGAGGTTTTTATGCTACTCTTTACAGTATGTACCTGATGAAGGGTTTAAGAGGGTGCATTTGGGAGTTCAAGAAATTTCACAATTTTTCCTCTAAGAGTTGCTCAAAGTTGATTTTATTACCCATAGTCTCGTATATTCAATCATATTCTACCAGTTGCTTATAGAAACTTTCCTTTCAGTGGCGATAAATGATCTGAACTCGTTAGAAAACATCCTCATTGCCATTGGAGCATGCCCGTCAACCACCGACCGCGTCGCGTGCCAGGCGGAATATCAATGCGGTTCGCAACTTGTTAACAGGCATTGTTTAGAGTGAACGCATCCACACGTGTCGTTTGAGGCTCGTAGGAAATTACTGATGCATGAATTCTATGGTCCTATTTCCTGGACAAGTCTGCTATTGAATCACCGATCGTCGAATTATGGAAATCTTGGTGTGCCGAGAGCGGAATCGATAAATCGATTTATCTAGCACGCTTAGCGCAGAACACCGCTGATCAGTGCGCTACGCTCGCTCTGGATCAACATAATCATTAAAAATCAGAAAATACTAATGATCTATGGAGAACTTTTATCTTACTGATATTTGGCGGTGTTAAGACATCAGAAGCTGTCAGATTATGTGCATTTCATGTCGTTTGTGCATGCCAGACCAAACCCATCAGGGGTTCTTTGCTAACAGCCAGGATAGTTTGTAGCGAATAAAGGGTGATAAAAAAGCAATAGCGTCGATGGTGTAATGGTAGCATGCGCTGCCAGTACAACTAAAGCACACATCCAACTTCCCCTCGGGGTCCAATTTTCCATAGTTTTCGACATTCTTTGACTGATAAACCATGCAATCAAACCCACTAAGTAATCATACTGCTGTTAGTTGAATTGTATAAGTTCCGCAAGTAATATTACTATTCCAGTGTTTTACTTGAGTGACAATCTGTCATTCCATAAATGAAACTATAAAGCTATCGGCTTTTATCAGTCACCTAAGGAACGCGTCATGCATTCGGCTGCATTAGTAGCATCGTAGGGCTAACTTGATGCATATTTGAGCTTTAACATAGTTTTCGGTGACCTACACAATTTATCAAGCTGACGCCACCAACTCTCGATCAGGTCTGGCACTAATTCACCAACGCGGAAAAGATGAGAGGTTTGGTGATCCTTGAGAACGGGATCGGACCATTGACTAATGGGTCATATGTGTCACAGCCACGGATCTCCCTCACTGAGGGATCCCACCCGGTTAGTCACGAGGGGCTTCTGCAGCACCGCTTTGACAAAACTCTATTTCTACGAGTCAAGCCGGCCAAGAGCCTGCAGTCAAGCTGCTGGGAACTACAGGGGAGGCGATCAGGAGACGCCTCCAACGAATAGGCTCCTCCCGCTCCTCCGAGAAGATGGCAAGCTACTGGTGAGTACCCAGCCCCCCGCGTTTAGAGCCTGGCAGGCTACACGTTGGGTATCGAAGCGCAAAAACACTAACAAATATGAGCCTCATTCCCCTGACCCCGAAAGAGCATCTGGTACGGCTGCGCCAGGCAGGACGAGCACGGAGAGGCTGCTCAAATCTAAGAGTCAAACTAGGCTGCCAAGATCTAAACGGACTAAAATGACTATCTATACCTATAATGCAAAAGTCCCACTCGGCCTCCCTTCCCATCCCCCAAGGTCAACATAATCACTGAAAATTATGAAGCATTGATACACTATATGAATTCTTTCTTCTCCTGCTTGTCTTAATGGGTTTAATGCTGATGGCCTCTGTGGTGACGTTGTATCACGTGTTGCCGATATGAGTGTAATGCGGGATCAACTCCCGCATGTGGTTGAGTGGTTTGGCAAGCTGCTTACTAGATTTACGCACCTTGTGGTCATACAGGTGTTAATTTGAGAGCTTTAATTATGAAAAAACTATTGGGAGATCACTTTTTTCGTTTCCATACTCGATATGCTCTCATTCCGCTCATAACTAAGATGACATCTAACAAATATGATAGCATTACGGTTGCGTCTGTGACATAATGGTAGAACGCGCTATCGGTTTGGGTAGAGCGCAAGTTCAGAGCCTGCCTGAGTCATTTATTTTGCGTGCCACTGAACAACATTGGATATGTAATTCTAACATCGTAATACTGCTAACATCAAAGTAAACTAAAGTTTTTGTATAGTCCATAGCTCATTATAAATGACATTGCATACTACAGTCGAAGCCAATCTAAGGGTAACTTTTAGCAAATTTTAGAGGTCAAGCCTAGTATTCAAAGACCTTGATTGTCCAACTATCAAATGACCCACTAAAAATCCTGTGAAAGATTTACATCTGACAGACAAAACGCGAATCGACGTGGAAGGAGAAAACGGGAGAATTTCATTTCATCTTCTTATAATTGAAAGCTGATACACAGCCAGCTGATTTACGATGAGATGCAGATTTCGTTATGTAGAAGAAAGCAATATGCCGTGCAAGCAATTATAAATCTTCACGGGGCTGTCAGCAAGATTTCTAAACAGTTGATTGAGATCACTCTGAAGAAAGTGTGCTAAAGTAATGATCTACTGGGAGCCTTCCTTTAAGAAAGCAGGTCAAATCGCAAGCAGCGGCACACGACTTTCGTAAGTCGATAAAAATTAATTTCCAGCCTTTTTATGAATTTTGAGACTTCCCTTATTACTCTAATGCCTGTCGTCTTCTTTACCCTCTTCCATCTTCTTCCTGCAACTGTAACTCTTACGAATAGAGACAAGCGCTTATTTACCACGCATTCAAAGCGTTCTTGGCATCAAATGAGTTGTAATCAATTGTACCGAAGTTATTTTCTCATATATTTTCTATCCCAATTTTTTCATGTAGTTTTCTACCAACATATTCTACCTTATTAGTGGTGTGCAAAATTGGCGTCAGTAGTGCAACGGATTAAAGCACGCGCTCTCGGATAGGGTGTAAGATCGAGTTCCGCCTGACGCGAATCACTTTACATCATTGGGTAAACTTATTACTTCATTTGACACATACCATACTTCCTTTTGTACTGCCTAAGTTCCATTCTAACATGCAATTCTTATCCTCGTTTGTGTAAGGATTTTCTTTTTTGCACAAATGCTGTGGAGCACTGGATGAGCACGTTTCCTTACATTTTGAAGGAAGCGGGGATCGATCTCACTCGAGCATCACTTGCCATTCGCCTCAGGCCCACGGTCGGTATGAAAGATGCTCACAGCGCCGATTGATCGCTGGGGCATAATCTTTTTTTTTTATCTAGAATCGTTTTACGTGGTCGAATGCTTTTCTGGCCTGTAGAAGAATAACTCGCGGTGACGTATCGATGAGCAAGTCAATGCGGCTGTCCTCGCAAGATGAATCTGCTATCAGTTCTACGACCGCAAGAGGTGGAAGACTTGATGAGCGCTGAACGCGTAATCGCACCATCGACTATTATTTGGTGGACCACGTGTTCTGCAGAGCACCTTTGGCTGCTGCTCCCCACGCGTTCAAGGTCATCATGGTCATTGAAAATCGGGGGACATTGATACACTATGTAAATTCTTTATTTTACTGCTTTTTAGCGGTGGGTCAGCATTATATATTTGCTAATTTGAATGGGTTTAACGTCAATATTGCTTAGCAAACCAAATCCGATGAGAGTTGGCTGCTGACAGATAGGATAAATTATATTGTAGGAGAAGTGTAGGAACACGTTGCCCTCCGTGGTGTAGTGGCAGCACGCCTCCCCCTTACATGACTGAAACGCAAGTTCAGCTCCCGTTTGGGGTCCAGTCTCTTCATACTAGTCTACACTTGATGAGGATATGGCATGTTTTAAGGCGTTGGATCTAGTGCTATACAGGCGCCTGTTTCGCTTTATTAAGACGCGCCAGTAGCACCCTCCCTCGATCACCTGGGGTTAAATAAACCTCTACAAAGGAATCGACACCGAGTGGAAAACCACCCCAAGTCAGATGATGTGGTTACCTGACATTGTGGTGACCGGCAGTCAAGGGTGTGGCTTTTGCAATTAATCATATCTCTACTTTCGACCACTTCTTTATAGATCCCCTCAAAACGATATAATCTGACAAGGGTATAACATATTTTAAGCCTAACGTCTTCTGTTCGGCCTCTGAAGGTGCTACTGATGAGTCCCAATCGGACGAGACAGGCGCCTGTATAGCACTAGACCTAACGGCTCAAAACATGTTATATCCTTATCAGATTATATCAGTTTGAGCGTGTCTGTAAAAGAAGCGTCAAATGTAGAGGTACTAGTCTACATTCTTAGATGGATACACTATGCTTCATATCCAAAGGGTAATCATACTGCCGTTACCTGTGCGAAGAATGTAACGGTGTCATCCGTACTATAATGGTAACACGCTCCTCCGGTATGAGTGAAACTCGATTTCAGCACTTGCTTGACATCACGTCTCTTCATAGTACTCTACATTCTCAAATGGATACACTATGCAGTCATATCCAAAGGGTGATTTTACTGCTGTTATATGCGCAAAGAATATTACGACATCAGTCTTTATGCTTGATAATCGACATTCTCTATTATTCCATGCAATACCCAGAATCACCTGTGCTGGTTCTGAGTTCAGTGTCATATTGACTACCAGACCAAAGCGTTGAAGTCGGTTGCTCACAGTTTGATGGGTTGCAGCGGGAAAGAGTAGCGGCAAACAGGCAACGGTAGCGCAGTTGTTCAAAGCAAGTTTCTACGGAAGGGATAAAATGGAAGTTCCACTAAACGTCGAAGTTTTATCTATCATTCAACATTATCTGGAATATTCAAAATCATGATATCGATTGAAAATTAGAAAACTATGAAGGATTTATATTTGGTGATGTTGAGATATATGCGGGCTGATTCCTGCGATGAATTATGTTGAAGAAAGTGGTAACAGAACGGCTACCCTGGTGGTACAGCGGTAACACGTGCCTCCCACATGGGTAAAGCACTGGTTCAACCCCCGTTTGGGATTCAGTTTCATCATACTATTTTATGTCCCTACATCGATGCACTCTGCAATCATTCTGTGCTGTTCTGCAAGGAATCCTTCTATATTGATCTTTTACTCTTGATAATCGACGTTCCCTCATTACATTCACTATCCATAACCATGTTCTTTACTTTCTACTCTATTTCATCCATCAACAATGTGTTGTGTCACTGTGCGGTTCTCTCAACTTCTAGAACTCAATTCGTTCCTTTGCCTTCTTCTTGAGCATCATAGAATACTGGCTGAGCGCGTCTCCTTGCTTTCTCGAGGATAGCCTGGCTGTGTTGTTCCATAGGACTTCTGCTGTTTAATGCCGGAGAGTGATAAGGTGTGGTGATCGGACACGCGCGCTCCGCGAGGGGCATTACAACTACTCAGCCCCTGCTTCCAAAATCATGGTAGTGACTGAGAATTGGAAAACAATGTTATTTTTTATTTAGTGATTTTAAGTTATATTCAAAACCGTAGTTTGCTAGAAAACGATGAATGCTATTGAAGAATTAGTGGTAGCAGGGGAGTGGTGGCTTCGGTGATATAGTGGTAGCACACCCTCCCGGTGTGGGTTAAACGTGGGCTCAAGTGCGGCGAGGAGTGGAATGCTTTGCACATCACTCAACATTATTTCACAAAAAAATTGAAACTGTCATAATAGCGGTGAAATAAAGTTATCCAGAATATGTTATCTGTCAAAAATCACTGCTCACTAGCTGCGATGCCAATTAATGAGCAACTCTCAGCAACATTTTGATTAATACTGCACGATGTACGGAATCATATGGGGCTTCGTTCTGCCGTTCTACGAGTATTGGTTCTTCATATATGCACTCGAAGTTATGCATTTTTTTCTCGTCAGTGTGGTTTTTCAGCCAAAATATGTTGGTTTTCAGGAAACATGGACGTTGTTCTTTGTTTGAAAATATCTTCATGAGAGCTCGCACTGGTATACCGCCTTTTTGTGGCGGTGTAGTGCTCTTATTAGTTAGGCGTTACTGTGTGCGTGCAAACAAATCCGCTTTAAAGTTGGAGGAATGAGCTAATTGCTACAAATGTGAAATTTCATATTTTTTTGTTGCTACAGCCCACCAAGAAGTTTCTTCCAGAAACTGAGCTCAGTGTTGAAAGCCTTGTTTACACAGCTATCTAGTGGCTAATTAAAGTCTATTAAAAGGTTTGTGGCTGGCAGAGTAATACAGAAAACCAGTGCAATTGAATTAGAACACTCAGTCTCCACAGGGTTAAGGCCTTTGCGGTATTCTACAGTAGACATTAATCTATTTTTTCGCAGTGACTAGACTTGTTCTTGATTTGTTAATATTGCACGAGCTTCCTACTTGCTTGAAATTCTTAATCACGGGTGGCCTCGCACAAAACCTATTTCACTAGGTTACCCGATTCCTCAAGAGCTCATGTGGCGCAGCGGTTAGAGGTGCTCTGCGTCGCACACGAACTCAATGGTTCAATCTCGCGCTCATGGTTCACCGAGCCATCCACGCCTCCGGGTTCGGTAGATTGGTACCAGACTGGTCTCAGGCTTGTTTGGGAGGATACGCAGCACTGACTCGGTACAGCGGGCGGCCACCGCGAGTCAACGTACAGGCCAGATATGCATTCAGTCACGTCAAACGAGTTAGAAATTAAAGACGAATGCATGGCACATCCTTCAGTTATTACAACGCCGAGAGCTTTATCCTTTTATCCTTTTACCCTGCTCCTCTGTGATACTACACAGGGACTATTGTAAGACCTCTTCTACTGAACATAAATTTTTCTGTTACTATCAGTAATCATCCAGAAAGGTCAAATTTTGGTTATATCCAGAAATGTAGAGTGATGTGCAAAACTTTTGCGTCATGCGGAACTCGAACTCACATCTCATCCTATCCGAGAGCGCGTGCTCTAACCTCTTGCGCTACGGACGCCCATTTTGCACACCACTCTTTCTGCTCTACAGCGATTCTATCTATTAGCCGCTAACCGTAGACGTCTGGCCCGGGCACGCGCTCCAGGATAGAGTAAGATGTGAATTCCCGCCTGACGCAAAAGTTTTGTACGCCATTCTACATCGCTGGGTATACCTAGAACATCATACTACCGCTAGAAGCAGTCAAACAAAAAAAAATTCGCTCAAATGTTATTAATATTAATAATGTGATCGCTATCCGGGAAGGCCTTCCCATAGCGGCAACACTGGAAATGAAATGGTGTTGCAAATGTGTGCGAGGCTGAATTTTGGTATTTTTTTCTGTATCTACAAGGAGTGAATGTTGCTTTTCCAATATACGTTTTTCGCGATGTTTGGTCTTGAATAGAAATTTGATAGCTTCTTTTTCTGAAGCTGTTTTGTGGACCGAATTTTACAATACTGAATTTTCTCCATGCCATTCAGCTTTTACATCCGTAGATGGGAAATGTGGGAAAAAGACGGAAGCAATGATCGGGATTCGATGGAATCGTTTTTAACTATCAAAACAGTGATTTTTCTCCTTCACTATGTATTTTCGGTTTAGTATTTTCTTATTGATATCATTTAGCAGGAGCTAACTGGTCTTGATCTCTTCAAAAAGTTGTCCACTTTTCGAACACGAAAAAACAGTCTACGTTTTCCCGAGCGGTCAACCGTTTGAGTTCCAAAGACCTAACAACTTGGAACTGAGGATTTATTACTAGGAAATGATTTAGTTTAACTTACTCATCGAAGCATACTATTTTCGACTGAATGTCTGAATATTGAATAACATTCAGTAATTTCTCAGTGCACTACAGAAGTTTCAAATCCATACTGACATTGCAGCCAGTTAACTGGACGGCTGGCGGCTCAAAGCCAATTAGGTGGCTGTAATGTCAATACGTGTTTATAATCTCGTCAGTGTAGGAATAAATTACTAAATTTTAATTGTCAAAAAGCCATTTCTGAGCTGCGCATGTCGTGTGGTCTGTTGAAAAAGGGCTTACTTATATAGCCCGATACACGGGTTTCGACCTTGCATACTCGCCAGTCGGGCAGTTACCCTTTCTCGTCTTTTGCCCATCCTCTGTGGGTACTCCAGTCCCCACACTAAGAGTTAACGACGACGAACCTTTTGCACTTTATGTCCAGTGAAATTATCACCAAACACGGAGTGTTCTACACTCGATTGCTCTTGGCTGGTAGATTTATTAAATCATACCCTTTCGTTTCGAGTGTTTTCTCAAGACCACAGCTCAAATCAGCTCACAGGACGGGAGCACCCACACAGGATTTACAGGAGAGGAGAAAGGGTAACTTCCGACTGACGAGACTGCAAGGTCGAAACACGTGTATCGGGTTCTATAAGTCAGCCCATTCCAACAGACCATATGACATGCGTGGCTCAAAAAAGACTATTTGGTATATCAAAATTTGAGCTGTGGTCTTAAAAAAACACCCGAAACGAAAGAAATTACTAAATGTTATCCAGTATCCAACCAGTGCAGTAGGAAAATAGTATGCACCAAGGTGTCAGTTGAACTAAATCAATCCCTCGTAATGGATATTTGGTGATGTTGAGCGCTAAAAAATACATGCTCTTTTCTACTAGAGTATGTAGTATCGCAATTGGGGGTTAGATACGCGGACAATTTGAGATCCTCAATCTTCAGGGAGTTTGATCCTTAGAAGTCGAAGGATACATCAAGCGAAAGATGTAAATTGAGTATTCACACTTCCTCAGTGCCGTATGATCATATTTTTTACATCATCTTATGTCGATCCAAAGCTGTGATTTCAAGTTATGATTCTTTCACCTCTTCAATGAATGCACTGAATATAGCTAGTTTTACTTATGCTTTGAATAGTCATATGTTTGTTTCCATTGTAATCAGTGTGTAATGGATTGATAATACGTATACGTATATCAGTTGGATTTTCCTTGGAATAGTGCTGGAATGACAAGTGCATTTTTCGGCTCAGTTGAAACTTTTCCACAAAACGAGAAAAGTTAAGATGTTATCAAAAATGCAGGAGGTTTTTTAGTGCTTCACACAACAGCAAAGCCACTCAACATTTTTGAATCGTTGCAGGTAAAGCGATCGGAGGACAAAAAGCTGCGGTATCGATGCATAGTACGAAACTGTCGCGATTCAAATAATTTGCTTAAACTCACCACTGTTGTGGAGTATATGTCCTCTCATTATATCCATGCCAAAAGGTGCGTCATCGGCTTTTCAACGCGCATAATTTCGAGGCTCTTCAATAGATAGCAAGATTGCAAGGATGCTTACCCAACTTGCTTATTAGTTCACGGAAAAAAACGAAATCGTCAGGCAGTAGTCATAACCAGCGCTCGAAATGTGCGGCGAATATAGTACGCGAATAGCCAGTAAACAAATGGTGCTCTTGAAGTGAGCGTTTTGTCCATTAGAAAAGCTTCCCAGAGTACCAAAAAACTCTGATTCAACTTACCAAAATAGAATGAAATGAGAGTCTCAAGCAGCGGCTGGATGACTGTCTCGTCATTTAAGCGAGACGATGCATAGGGTAACATGGTTTCTAAACCTCATGTATCGCAATCGCTGAAGTTTATATCACCTACCCCTAAATTCAAACTTTTTCTAGAACACCTATATCGCGACTAACCAAACTGCACCTGTATACGGCACTGACTCGTTGTTACCGCCATCCATCCTCACTTCGAAAGGAGCCACCAATCGATTCGGTATAGCATGCACGTCGGCGCTAAACAGTGGTTACACTGGTTACACGTATCATCGTTGTAGGTAAGGCGTTGGTTGAACTCCCCCCTCATGTCGAATGTCTTAGAATACTTGCATTGCAGATGAGGATACTTCTCACCGGATAGTCTTTCCAAGAGCTATTAGTAATCATTCAATAGAGTAATCGCTTTCAAATTCAACGCTGTGCTTATATATTGAAAAGACCGTTCGTCTGAAACGGCAGCAGGTAAAATAAGTTGAATTCCTATCTGGGATCAAAGGCCACATTTGCCAAGTCGCGCGGGTGTGCG